ATTTCTCAAGTTTCATGGTTTACTGTACCTGGACCAAGGTTTGTTAGATACATAGAGTGTTTATTATTAGAAGCTGTAGTATGGAGTGCACAGGTACAATGATTGCTACTGCACACAATAAAAAAATTAATATTTTGTACTCCATAGATTTTTCCGAAGCAAGAAATATTAAAGATAAAGCTGTTGATGGTTTTCAAGTAAGACTTTCTTACAAAATGTCATTTTTTTTTGTGAAATAATATGTCTCTCTTCTTTTTTTTTTTCATTCTTTCTTTCATTTCTTCTTCTTTTCATTCATTTATGGATAATATTTTGTGCTGTTGTTTAGTTGGTTTTGCAACAAGACGCTCTTCAGCAAGATGATGTACTGCGAATTTCTGCCATCACACTGTTTACTCTATACCACATCAAGTGTGGCAGAGGTGTAGATGACTTGGAGGAGTTTGACTGCATCAGCAAGGCAGAGGAGGTGAAAAGCTTACAAGATTAACTTCTTATTATTTTTTGCAAAGTTTGGTATTTGGTATTAGGTCATGAGCATGAATCCTGCCTATTCTCTCTCTTTATTTTCATCATCATTATTGTTAATATTTTGCTCTTGATTAATCCATTATATTGAAAAGTTGCTGACTTAAATTCCCCTTATTCTCTTTTAGGAGAGTTGGCAATTATGTCTTGAGTTTGCAGGTAAAAATACCACCTTTTATCCCTTTACAAAAATTAATTAGTTAGTCATAAATAAGTTTATTTTCACGAAAGTGCTCTAATGTTTTAGATTCAAGAAGTAGCTTACTTAATATGGACTAAATACAAGAATTGCAGACCAATTTTGGAGAAGTTGATAGTACATAAAACAAGAAAAAAGTTACCTCTTTACTTTTTACCTGAAGATGGCCAAAAATAAAGTACATGATAAAGTACTATAAGTGTGTGAAAGACAAATTGGTTTGGCAAAAAAAAAACAATACTTATTTGAGATAGAGTACAAACATTAAATGTGTGCAACACTTTCCACTATTTAAGCTTACTACAAAATAGTGTTAATTAAACAATAGAAATCATAATTTATCAGTATTTAGTGGTATTTATGTTGCGCAGTTTTAGTGTTTGTCCTCTAATATGTGTTCTGCTATTTTAATTAAATTTTGTATTTTTTCAATAACACATTCATTATTTTTTGACAGTAAATCTGTTTGACGTTGCACTCACTCACATCAATGACAATCCAGAGGACATGAACAACACTACCTTACTGTACATAAGTGTGTTTTGTCARTGGATCASAGGGAATTCAGCCACTGCATGGAAAGAAGACATTGTCAAGTCTGAATTGCAAGTATCACATGGTTTAGTACATCACAATATATGTATAAATGACAACTTGTACTCTTTTGAATGATAAATATACAAAGTAGGGACGGCAGAGCAGTTAATATGCTTTAAAAACAGTCAATTTTGTAAGTATAGTAAGTGTGCATATGTTGGCACAATTGTGGACACCTTTGCATCTTTAACTAAGTTTAGTTTTCCCTTCAAATTGTTTATACTTTAATGTTGTTTTTGTTGACAATTTTTTTAGAATTTGGGAAAAGTTTGCAACACTTCTTAATCATTTTTCATCGACTGGACACCAAATTGAGAAGTCAGGTAAGCTCTCTTTATATAACACTGCTGTACTAGCCCAAGGTAAAGTATTTCCCAAGGGCCAGAGTAAACTCCATCCTCGGTAATCCTCGGTAATATATCATTCGTTCCTCACTCCAAGAAAAATACCCCTGAGCACAAAGTCTGTTAAACCTTGTTCTAGATTCGAAATTCAAAATGGAGACTGGTAAAAATCTGATTGGTCGAGTGATGATTCACTTGAACATTCTGATTGGTTGATTTATTTACCGGCTGGCATTTTGGATTTTGAATCGAGAACAAGGTCTAACAGACTTTGTGCCCAGGGGTATTTTTTCTGGGAGAGGTATTTTTTTGGGGAGTGATGAATGAACGTCAAAAGATTTCTCCTGGGTTCCCGAAGATCGGGTAAACTGTAGTTTGATTTTGGTTAACAGATTCAATCCTGAAATAACTTAAAGTTATCTCTTTTGTAGATGTCCCCATTCTTGAGGACAGAGAGCTACAGTGTTTTATTCCCCTAAACAGTTTTCAAAAGTAAGTATTCATATCTCCTCTAAAGAAATTTTTCAGCCTATTAACTATTTTAGACTTTCCTCTCAAAAAAATGTTTTTTTTATTGTTCATTTGATTTTATGGTTTACAAAAATAAAATGCTTGTCACATAGGTAGTTAAGTAAAAAAAAGAGAAATAAGGACTCTTGGGTTAGGGTTAGGGTTGCTTATTTGGTAATTTGTTTTCCAGAAAACTTAACTTTGCCATAAAAAAAGCCAGGGTTGACAATGAAGATCATTGTCGGAGAAGTCGTCTTCTTCAGTTTGGAAACAATTTATCAAATCATTCTCCAAGGTTTGTAATTATTATTATTATCTATTAATTGAATAATATTCAATAATTACGATTTGCTGGATTTTATGTAAAATGATATTCTGCTAACATATTCTTTTCTGGCAGGCTGCTATCCAAGATAGATGATGTTTTGACTGGAATTGCTAAATTCTCCCTTCATACAGAGACCAATTCTACTGAAAATGTGAGTCTCCATACTCTAAATTCACAAAAGTAATAATACGTACAATGAAATTCTCATTTTTATGCTGTTCTGGTAACGTAATATTTCAGCAGGTCCACAGTTTCCAGGAAAGACCCCAAAAGTTTGTAAGAGGTTTTGGAGTTGAATCTGTAGCACCACAAGGACCACAAGCCCCTACTCTTACTGCCTCAGCATTCCTTCCACAGAAGTCTCCATCACCTACACCGTTCACCGAGACAAGGTAAAATACTTCCATCGATTTCTTTAAAGGCAGATGGTTTCAAAGCATTGGTTGCTTTAATGAAGGCAGTGCTTTTGARRAAGACAKRRAGCTGAATATCCTCTCTCATACTTCACAAAAGTCTCCTTTGTAGGCTACCCCTTTGTTGGGCTTCCTGTCCCTTTCAAATTCATTYGGGACAGAAAGCCGGCAAAGGGGTAGGCCTCAAAGAMGACTAACTTYACAACTGATACTAATTATAAAATCTGTGACCAATKCTGTACTACTTTTGAAAATCTGAAATCCATGACTAAGGCTCAAGAAGAGTACAAAAAACCCTGAGCTTTTGAGCTTCGTTTGAAGACAAAAAATATTGAACAGGATAACTTGAGTTCAAGAAATATTTTTGAGATTGGGTACAAATTTTCAGAGACACACAATGTGTCYTTTGTCAGCCCTAGTGYCAAAGAGGAGCAAAGACAATTATTGYAATRCCAYASMCTAGTGGCCATTKTACACAGGGATCCMAGGAGGGCTGCTACACGGGTTAATTACCATGTAATATCATCTTTGTTTGTAGTTCTCTATTCAATAATACCCATGGTGCAATTGGAGGTCCTGTTGAAAGACCATCATTCCTAGCAACACCACAGGTAGCCCAGTACTCTTTATTTCAATCTGGATGGAAGGCGCCACTGACATCTGCCTTTGGTTCRACTGGTAAGTTTTYWTTTCKTTRGATTACCTGTGGACACAGGAAGCCCATTTTWTCATTTTTGTAAATCTATTGTTTTCGGCAGGATCYTCRCAGTCATCTCCTATAGAAAGACCACCAAAYGAACTATCACCAATAGGGCAACCACTTGTAAACCAAGGACCGTTATCCATCACACCAGGAGAGTACCAACCTCCAAACAGCACCATTCCAACATTTCAGAGTGCCTCTAGGCCCCAGGGCTTTTCTACCCCATCACCAGGACCACTCGATGGATTTGGGTTGAGTGAGAACTGGGGATCTGGTGTCTGGGGGCCATCTAAGACCAGTAGTAGCTCAGTGGTCGCAGTGCATGCACCACCACAGCAAGTCCAGGTATTGTACCATCGATATTCCAGGCACATTACACACTCATTGGCAGATCTAGATGATGGGTGGAGGCAGTTCACTCACCTTCCAAGACATTGTTTCATTCAACTTTCCCCTAATTTGTGCCCCTTTGTCACCATTTTTCTGGTCGGCACCCCTTTTTCCTTGGATGACCTGCACCCCTAACATTTTATACAATATCTGCCTATGGGACAAAATTTTAAGTTGATTGAATTATGTGAAATTCTTAGACTCTAACTTCACGTTTTTCTGTAGTCAATGTGGAGTCAAGATCTATCTCCTGGCCAAGGCTTATCGCCACTTCAGCAGCTTCTCCACGACCAACAGAATCGAAAAGACCACAACGGCACGTGACTGACATGAGGGTTTCACGTGATAAGAACGTGATCTATTGAAATGATGGCAAGATTTTGCTTTACTGTGCACACGAGATTCCCTCGTGACAGGATAGTTAAATTGTGCGTTTATGCATGCATTGCATGATGGGACTAGTTACCAATCCCTCTCTGAACTTGAACCGAGGCTACATGTAATTTTAACAGTTGGAAGTCGTTTTCCTTATCTTTCCATCTTGAATTCACTAAAAAGAGCATTAACTTTTTTGTAAATTAAAGGAAGAAACTTTGAACCAACAAGCCGAGAAATAAAACTTCATGAAAACATGAGTGTTGTAATTTTGCTGAATTTGTTGAGTCGGTCTCAGCATGGTCTCAGTCAAGACTGATGTAATGCGGCTTTGTCGCTTTAAGGCCAACTTACAAGGTACAACTTTTGCTTACAAACATCGCATGCAACCTGCGTAAGTCATCCTTTTACAACATGGCTACAACTGTTGTAGGGATATTAATTAAGCAATTGTTTCAAATCCCCACGCGACAGTTGTAATGACTTGCGCAGATTGCTTGGTTGTAAACAAAAGTTGTGTCGTGTAAAGTTGGCCTTAACAATGTCCTAAAGCCCTAATCACCTTAACTTGAAAAGTTATCGGGAAAAGCAACTTAACACGAAATAAGACCGAGCTAGCACGAGCTAGGGAACTCAATGGAAAGCTCCATCAATATGGAGCCTGCCTTAATCATTTCTTTCTTCTAGTTGAACTTCTTTCTCGTTATCTTATCCTGTATAAAGAGGAAGGGGAACGTCTAAAATTAATTAGAACTTTAATTGGAAACTGATAAATAAATATAAATCTTGCGCAGTCCCTTAGTCAACCCGTCCAGATAAACAAGACAACAACAGCAAACATAATCTCTTGTTTAAGGCAAACAGTGATTTACAAACTTTAACCTAATGCTATCTAACAGAAAAAAATACATAATGGTTATATTTATAGTTATTGTTTGTTTGTACAAGGTTTTCTTTATCTCATATGTTGAGCCTCAGTCCAACAATGTTGCACATTTTTTTTGAAAACTTATAAGCACATGTAAACTAGTCGAATATATATATCAATCATATCAAAAAGTGATCAATACCTTTAAAAAATTGCTGTGCATCATTTCTGCATTTTTCAGACACTGGATTGTTAAGTAGGGTTAAAGAGGTTAGTGTACTAGGACAGCGTTCCATGATGTGATTAACCCCAACATCTGTGATTTCATTATTGCTAAGATAAAGCCCGGTTATACTACTTTGACATTGACTAACTATATATTCAACTCCATTGTCAGTAATGTTATTACCAACCAAATGTAGGTATTGTAGCGAGCTTGAACAATGATTCACGATGTCAATCACTCCAAGATCAGTTATTTCATTATTACCCAGTTTCAGCATGGTTAACTTTGTCTGTGACAAGTATTGGCTCAGACACTCCACGCATCTGTCATCCAGTTGACAATCGGATAATTCAAGTGTAGCGATATTGCAGGTTGGTTTGGTGAGAGGTGGCAATAAAGTCTTCAAACCAAAGCAAGTTATCGAAGACTTAAAAATGTGCAATGCGCGTGGTTGTGGTGGCGAAGATAATGTTACGGGATGATTATTTATTAGCATGGCAACTGCACTGCAGTCCGTGTCGGTTACGCCATCCAATTTAATCTTCCTAGCAATAGTATCATCCCAGTATCTGTAGTAACGGTTTGAAGTCAGTTCATCTATTGTGAATTCTTGGTCTTGGCCAAATTCGTAAAGGCAACGCAATGAGTAAACTCTTTGTCTGTCTTTATTGTGAACCTGAACTTGTCCAGCCAGGTGATTTAGTAATTTTACCATCGAGTCAACCTTTCTATGTATTCCAAACAAACCACTCAGGAATATGCACACCATGTCATGCTGGATTCCTTGCTGAGGCATTGCCTCCATCTTCATCAATTGCCAAGCATAGAAAAACTCCTGGATGGTGAAGTGCGTGAAGCTATATACATAGCGTGGATTAAAAGGTGAATTACTGGAAACAGGATAACGAAATAGAAGATTACTTTTTTTGATGTGGAAGATTTCATCCTCCGTTAATTCTAGCCTTTCTAAGTCTTCAACGCTGAAACTAAATCTATCTTTTGGAACTAAATATGCCGCTAATTTGGCAAAATTATCGAGAGTTTTGTCTACAGCCAAAGAAGCGTCTTCCTCCTTCAAACTGAGTATTGCCTTATTATAATTTCTCTCTATGCACTTAATGACATTACTATAAAACTCAGTGAGTGTTACAGGAGCGGATTCGTCTCGGTTATTTTTGATTTCCCACTCGATGAACACACACATAAGGAAGCATCGAAAAGGGATGCTACCAAATTCAATGTAGGGTGCTGATCCTTTGACTTTGTCCAGCGCTTTTGCCTTCATTACTTCGCTCTTATCTTGAAAATATTTCTCCACATATTTGATGACTTGCAATTCAGAGAAACCTGCAATTTCTACGTAGCGGTCAAAGTGAATTTTTTGGTCCAATTCGTGAGCTTCGCCAACTCTTGATGTGACTGTGATTGTAGCTTTTCTCATGATCTGTTTTTGGACCAGTTTGCTAACCAAGTCAGATACCGGCATCTTCACTTGAACATCATTGGGAAATCGCCCTCTAAAATGACCATCTATTTTGTTTTGGTTTGTATATTCATCAAATCCATCAAGAACAATAAATAACTTCTCTGGATGATCAATGAAATACTCCATGACATCATCATTTATCATGGTGTTTTGGTCTAGCAAAGGGGAGTGATTAAGTAGGTCTTTGAGATTCATATCTTTGTCGATTAAGTCATTGAGGTCCCTGAACTTCAAAAGGTATGTGAACTTGACATCAGGGATCGAAATGAATTTGGCGGCTAAGTCCCGAATGAGTTTCTGCGAGAACAAAGTTTTTCCTACGCCGGATTTTCCAGCGACAAGTATGGATTTGGGGTTATCTTGTTCTCCTCCTACAAAGATCTCTGAGCACTTTTTGATTTCTGTCACTGTTTTACCAGCTTTGCTTGAGCTGAAATGCTGTCGATGATGAACTGTCAGATTGGTGAATATTTCATCAGTCTTGGAAGTATGTACCACGGATACACTTACTCCTTCTGGTGGCTTTTCTTGCATTTCTGTCGTTTCAAGGATCGCAGTCTTCAGCTTCTTAGAATACGATTTTGCCTCTGAAAGAAATGATCATTTCTTTCAAAGTATAACTGGCGTAAGATTTATTGGTTATGACGCGCAAAATCTTTTCGTTTTCTCATAATGAGATGAGCCCAAAACATAATCACTCGACAATCTATGAAGCTGCGTTATGCTATTTTCAGAAAAACTTATATTTAAATGCTTCATACAAAAGCCATCTTTTTCTGGAAAAGAATGCAGGAAAACGATTGAAAAACAATAGACCCTTTGCAGCTGGGGGTCATGTTCAAAAAATTATGTTCAGAAATGGAAAGAGCAGCTTTATGCTGGTAAAATGGCTCAAGTCTCAAGTCTCAACTCTAAATACTTCAAGAATGAAAGCAAATATGTAAAATATTGATTTTTCTAAAGAAACGTATGGGAAAATACAACTGGAGAGCAAGCCTTGCTCTCCAGTTCTGTTTTTGCATATGTTTCTTTAGAAAAAACAACATTTTATATTTGCTTTAAATTTTTAAATATACAGTGTTGAGACTTGAAACTATATCTCCTTATTTATTTTGATCCCCTCTTTCCATTTCTGAACATCATTTTGTCATTGCTGATTGGTTTAAGGTAGGTGTGGTCACGTGACCCCCAGCTGCAAAGGGCCGATTGACTGTGGGTGACGAGTGGTGAGGACACGTTAGGTCCCAGTTTCCCAAAGTGAAAACTGCGCTCGGCCGCATGTTGAAAAGGGTGTTTGATTAGGGGGGAGTTTAAGAAATTAACCATGCCTTGCGTTGCTACAAAAATATTCTTTCATACTTATGTCTCTTACTTTTTCTAAGTCTCCGTTTAGCAAATTTGCCCAATGTAAAAGATACAGGATTCTTAATGAATGATGGAGCACTTTGGTTGTTCTCTACCTCGGTGACTGGAGATTCAAAACATGCTGTAAGACATTACTGAAATTCTGTAAATGATATTAAGTCTCTTAAGTTTTGAACTTGATTTGGCTTATAAATATATTTGCATCCATGAACAGAGGCCGCCCCTTCGTCCCCCTAAATCCGCCCTGTGCAATATAAGAACTTTCAAATTATATACACCTATTTCAAAAAAGGTTTCCGGATAAAATGGCGAATGTCAATTGTCGAATGGCGATTGCACGACCGAAAGCAGTCCTGGGTTTTGCTAATTTATGAGAGTATACTGTAAGATTGTCTGTGGTAAACATTGACTCCATTTAGTCTCCATTTGTATTTAAGGTGAATCCGATAAGTGAAAATTTGTTTGTCAAAACAGTCTAACAAGAGTCCCTTTCGGTCGTGCAATCTCTCTTCGACAATCGCCCGTTCGCCGTTCTCCCCGACAACGTTTTTTGAAATAGCTGTATCAATGAAGGCCCTATCGGATAGATACCTCGTGATGAACAGCTATCGTCTTGTACCTTCCTATCTTTCTCTTTGTCAGACATGATAAATGAATCAAGTTTCAAATGTAAATTCTTAAATTGTTGAAGCATTTCTTCTTCATTTACTCTGTTATCTCTTGCGTATTCGTCATCCAGTTTTTCATGGAGGTTTTCTATTGAATGACGAATGTTGTCAAGCTGATCTGTGCCTTGTACAGTTTCGTTGATGACATCGACTTTTTCATTCAACGTTTGAAGTTCCTTTGTGACAGTGTCATTTATACTTCGAAGGGCAACTTCCCCATCTTCCAACGAATTCAGAAGGCCGTAAAAACACATGTCCTTCTCATGATCTATCGATGTAAACTTGAGATGTTGAATCTGTGTTTTATATTTTGATTTTCCAAGTCTATTCAAAGCTGCCTCGGTTTCATCCCATTTCTTTTCAAATTCATCATCAGTCAAAGCATGGTGGACCTGGTGCGCAAGATAATTCCGACACAGCCTAATCCTAACCAAGTCAGCTTCCATACTTAAATCTGTTGGCATTGGTTCTTTTTTCCACCCCGTACCAGGAGGCCTTAGACTACATATATTTCGTAACAACGTTAAAAGCAGTGTGAATTCAAAGTTTTTTGATTCTGCAACGCCAGACGAAGGGTAAAGTATATTCCATTGTTCCTTATTAAGGACATTTGAGGGTAGCTTTTTAAGTTTACTTTGTACCGAGTTGAGAACTCCATGCAGAGTAGAAGCTGGGTGAATAGAATCAAAGACATCTTGCAATACACGTCTTCCAATGTCAACCAGTAGCCTTGACAGTCTTGTGTGATTAGTCTTCTCTCTGGCTGATGGCGTACGTGTGAAACCAGTGGCCATATCAAGTCAACGCCTGAGAAGACTGAGAAGAAAAAAAATGGATTTTTACTATAGTATAATAACTGAATATCAAAAGAAGTGGGAAAATCAAGAAATACAGGCAACGAAACAGGAAAGAGCAATAATTAAAAACCGAACATTGAAGCGTCACCCCTGACTTCGCGAGTAGTAGAGAATTGAGAGTTCTGGAACACATACTCATGCGTGACGAGATTTGTTTCATTTTTTCATTTTTTTTTTTTTCATTTTTTTTTTTTTTGAATTATTATTTTGTTTTTAAATTCATACTTTAAAGTGTTCGATTGAAACGTGGATGTTTTGTTAGTGGAAAGATAAGAAAAATAGTTTGAAGAACTTTTTTCCTGGCGCGAAAAATTTGTGGCGCGAAAAGTTTTTTATATGTCTAGACATAAGAGATTACATCGCTGACGTCACAGTAGCTAGTGTATATAGCTAGTGTGTTTTCGGTCTGGAATCAAATGTTGTTAAGTATCATTCCACTGATTTATTGTTGGATTTGTGATACGTTTGAGACTCCATTGTGGTATATTCAAGATCGAATTGAGTTTCGAGAAAGACATGGCAACTTCAAACAGTTCTGAATCCAAAGTCAATGTTCTTGATTGATGAGCCGGAACAAGTCTCTCGTACAAAAATCAAGAATATATTAACATATGTATATGCAAATCTTTGTCAGAAATTAGTCTTGGAAGATTTTCAATGTGAGGGTTGTGAAAAAGAATGGCCAAGTCAACGAGATCATCTCTGTTGTATCCTCAGCGACTTTGAAATTTTCAACTTTCACCTTGATGCAGTTAAGGACAAAATTGATATTGATTTTCTCTTTGGAYTGTGTTCACTCATKGAGGACATTTCATCAATCCCGCCATGTAATGACTTAAGTGAATGGATTAATCARTTGAAAGAAACGTCRGCRAATTCTATCTSTTCAACCTGTAGATCTATGGAGCGGGTTTGTGACGATGAAGAAAAAGTGATGGAACTAGTTCACAAGTGGTGTTATCAATATGAAGACACRAAATCTTTAGAACTAGAAATGAGTGATTTGTCATGGTTGAAGCACTATCTGGGTCATTAATGGACAATTTTTGTTCATCTGGACTCATTGTTAAAAAAACCTATTTTCATAGATGAAGAGATTATGTCTTATGATTGTGCAATAATCCTCTTTTTGTTCAATAAAAGGTATTTTATGGAGTCTGGGATTAAATGTGTTTGAGTCATCTCTTTATGTATTCATATAAGAGTTCATTCGCTTGTGTATTTACCTAAAATTTGTAAATGTTTTTAATTTGATTTTTTCCATTGACGTTCTAGTTGAGAATATGAGTGAAGAAATAGTGAGCTTTTTTACTATGAAAGAAATGAAGAGGGGCAGTGGATTAGGAACCTAAGAAGCAAGACCGTTTTTGTATATTATGTGAACAAGGATGGTGAGGCAATTCATCGGGGGTATGATGATGAATTTTTTCTGTGGAAATTCGTCATAAAAGCCTACTTTCTAAGGTTGAAGAAAACATATGTCCAAAATCGAAAGTTCGTTTTGAAGGGAGAGGAAGCAAGACAGTTTTTTAAGGTTTCTCAAGCACTTCACTACGCAAGTTTAGTTGCTGTATATTGTCATCGCCTTCAAGATTTAGGACATAGAGCACCCACTCGAGAAGAAATTGAGCAAAAGTATTACTTTGATTTTATAGCAGTTGACCCCACTCCATCCATGCACCCCAATTGTATTGTGAAACTTTTTAAAATAATTCGTCCTGAAAATAAAAATGAGTTTAACTTTCTGAAATTTAAAGAAACGATCAAAACGAAAGCTTTCATCGGAATGGAAAAATAGAATTACCTTGTCGAAGGATACTCTCGATCGGGCCTAGTCCAATCAGGATTCCTGACACAAATTAGTAACATCAAAAGGGTTGACAAAGAAGCTTCTCCCCTTCACTTGTCCCAAATGCGTACTTCTTACATGATTCATGATTAGAGGTTTATGACAGTCGTTTATGATTGAGGAGGACGATGCTCCGATTATATAAAGCAATATTCAAATCAAGGGGGAGGAGTCAAGATGGAAATAAGACTGGATTGCACTCATCCATAAAATGCGCGGGAAAAAGGCAACAGCGAATGAACCAAGAATAACATAAAATAAAAACACTGAAAAATAAAAATAAAAGAATCAAAAGACAAAGACAAATAGGTTTCTTTCAAACAATTTATTTGAATTTTCCTGATTTTCAAATTCTAAAAAGAAATGTTCAAACGGAATAAAGAAACAAACCTTCAACTACTCTGTAAATCTTTCCACAGGCCTCGCGAATGTCAAGTTCATTCAACCATGAATAGGCTTGATCAATTTCCATACCAGGATTATTGTGAAATGTCTTAATGTTATCCATGGCAAAGGCTTTCGCAACTTCCATGTTAACCTTTCTCACTGCCTCACTGAAATGAAGACGTAAGTGTTCTCGAGGAGACATCATAAGACATGCTTCTTCATTTCCATCAATGAGACATCCACAACATCGCTCTTGAATAATTCGCTTAAGTTCCACTACAGTTGAAATTGAATATGATGCAACGAATAAGTCCTCAACAATTGATAATACTTCCATTATGTTGTTCTTTAACAAGTTGATAAAGTAATAACGATTTGATTCCAGACCGAAAACACACTAGCTATATACACTAGCTACTGTGACGTCAGCAACGTAATCTCTTACGTCTAGACATATAAATAACTTTTCGCGCCACTTTTAACTTTTCGCGGGATCGTGACGTAAGGTAACCCGCAGCGCGCTCCGATTCGATAACATACCCGCGAGGCAAGGGATCAATGACGTAATACCACAGGAAACCCGCAGCGCGATGCAATTCGATAACATAAAAGCGTGCGCATTCGTTCTTTTCTTTCTCTCAAGCAATAGTTGGGTAGCCTATGACCCGATTCGGGATTGCAACATTTCGGAAACGGCCAGAAAACTTGCAAAATAAAGCACAAATTCCGTAATGAACATATATTAGACCAATTAGGTAACAAGGAATTTGATTAATGGAATTGCAATAGTTCTGAAAATCCGGATGGCATTAAAACAGATCAAAAACAAAACTTAAACAAATACTGAAAGGGAAACTACCGCGCTATGGCGCAATAATCATGAGTAGAGTTTAGATTGCTCTGACCGATAATCATGCCCCGAGCTTTAGTCACCGCCCTACGTCAACAGTGTCTCTTTGAATTTTTAATTTTCCGACTAAATGGAGCCAATGTGCAAATTAAGAGTGAAGTATCTTCAGTTTGAATCGATAGTAAATGTCTTGAAATGTCATAAGTTTACTATAGGAACTGTCTCCTTGTTATTTTGGAAATTCTAGGAATTGAAGATTGAAAGCACTGATATTCGGCACCTCGCGTGATCGCCTGTTCCTGGAACTGGCTGGATGTTTTCCGACGTTAAAGGGTTGAACATGCTCAATCTAATACCGAAATTGCAGTACTGAGTTTGTCTGATGTGTGCCTAACTCTTGGAACTCTCTCGGAAGTTTTCTGTTACTCGAATGGCTTTGATGCACTGTCTTCCTTTCCTTGTTCCTCTATATAATTCTTAGAACTGGTAAGTGTCAACTCAAGGAAGCGGCTGTTCTAAGAACCAGCTCAGATTGAATATTAGTCTGTTAATAAGTTGTGTGGTACTGTGTCAACTGTGTCCACATCTCTCTAATTATAATACTTTTAAAAATGCTATACATTACACTCATCGTAGAACGAATCGACTAGTCTCCTTCCGCAATGAACACAATTCATTCGTACCTTAAAATCATGCTTGGTTTGGTTTGATCTCCATCGTTGTGCTGTCGGACTTGAAGATGACCCCAAGCTTGCTATCATTCTAATTCCTGAACAAAGTATATTTCATTTGAATGATTATCAATTGAAGTTTATTTAGTAGAATATTATTATTACCATTTTCAAATGCAGCGTACGTTCAACTACTCGTTTCAATGGGAGTTGTCTAATCGGGATTGCGACATTGAATCTCCATCTTTTGTGAGGCATAAGATACTTCTGGTTAGCTCTTCTGGTTGATACTAATTTGAAAGACGGCCAAGCTTGAGTAAAAACGCTCACACCGAAATCCCAACCTAAAATGTCGATCAGAAGTCGATGAAGACCTTGATAGAAGCAGCGTTGCCATCAGAAACCACGATCATCCGATAAAACAACTCATGTATTTGATTGGTGGATATGTTGGTTTTACAAAAGCAAGCTGACCAACCAACGTCACGGAATTTAATTCTGATTGGTGAATAAATAAATCTTGTTGAGATTTTTAGTTTTTTCGCTGCTTTGTTTTTTTAACAATACCGTACACATTTCATTTCATTTTCGTTTTGTTTTGTTTTTATTTACTTTGTAATTAAAGGACTGCAGAAATAGAAAAAAGAAAAAAAGGGTGGCTTTTCTTTAAGTTCTGTAAAGTGCCTCTATAGCATTATTTCAAAAGTACAATTTTTTTCAAAACACCCACACCCCTCCCCTCCCCTCCCCACTTAAGAAATACTGCGCCGCCCTTGTTGTTGTGAAGACGCAACAACAATCGGGGAAGAGCGATGTAGAACAACGGGGAACGGCTTGAAAGCTCTTATAATTTAATCGTTATTATCCTATATTAATAATTAGTGCATTTTTCTTCCATTCCTATAGATATCATTACTATCGACCGTCTCATCGAATCCTCCATTGCTAAAATGACTAACAAGTCGAACTCCATTGGTCGAGGGTTCAACGGCAACTCCTTCACCCTCACGGGTACTSAKCCTGTTTTCTGAAAGTGTGACGTCGTTCTTTCTACGCACGCGCAAATRCTGTATTSCATTCTCAAACACTAGTGCAACCATACCAAAACCCATCCCAATTAATATAGTTAAAAATAATCCATTTAAATCATCCACAGTGAGCCCTGAAGGACCTTTGCTAAATTCRTCCTTGCTAATACACTTTCTCTTGAGCCATTTTCCCCAAAGGTCTTGAATWATGTTGTTTTCATTGTATTTTAGGATAGTTAGTGAGAGCGGATTGGTCCATTCGGAGTTTTTCGTCAGAGCAACAGCGTACCCGGATGTKCCTAGTGAATCACCCACGACTCTCAAAGAACAGTTTAGTCTAGAAGAAACGAGATGCTCCAAGTATGGACGGTCGTCGATGTACACTTGAAATTCACTGCGAAGGAAAGAAAATCCTGGTTAAGGTTGGATCTTTATCAATTAGGGTCAATKATTTCTGAWCAGGATCTGAAGATGCCGTTTTCTTACCCATTGGCAAGTTTTTTCACACCCACTTCAACGTCCAGTACATTGTTGTCCTTCATGTTGTTGTAGATTTGCCTCATTCTGGGATCTTCACTGTTCTTAAAGAAAGCTTCAGTGCTGCTGTCCCGAAGTGTGGCGTACTTGAATCCTTCTGGTGGATTTAGCATCTATAATCAAACAATTATCACCATAGTTTTCATTCCCCTCTATCTCCACATCTACAAGTTTAATCCATAAAGGTTGCCCGTTACATGGATGTGAATGGTCAGGGTATGCATCTACTAGCAGGAGCACTGACACAGGAGGAGCTGGAACCGCTTCCTCTTTTACAGATTCAACAATAAATGTATTAAGATTAAAAAAAGGATGGAAAAGATMTTTACCTTTTCGTCAAAGATCCCCGTAATGGGAGGAATGACTTCTTGTTTGACTTTACGCGCAGCCAGCTCCGCAGTGTAGCTCGCGCTGACAATAACCATTGCAAAGCCAAAAAAYAACGCAACGAAACGAGAGCTTTCACTTCCAGGGAGCCCACTGCCTGAAGGAATATGAACAAATGTGCTCCATACAAAAGACATGCTCTCAAGGAAATATATCCTTCTCTTGAATACACGAGCACATCTATTCTTTAAGTACCAAGTCCAACTGACTTTATCAAGAATCCATACCACAGTCAACACAACGGCAATGGAAATAAAAATRACTGCCCAAAGAAGTGGTGTAAAAGGCTGGATGAAATCTGTGTTGATCTCAGTCTTGATTCCATCTGTTGAYGCRGCGGTGAGAAGACCGATTCCTACTTCGCCATAAGGATAGGAAAAGTCGACCACTTTTAATCTATCCCYTGTGGTTGTTAACGTAGCGAGAGCCATGTCGGCTTTACCATCGAGAAGGTCGCCTATCATTCCATTCCACTTCCCAGTTTTTTCGTCAACACCTCCATATTTMCCATCTTTCACTATGTACAGATCGTACTCAAACGTAAGCTCGGCTCTGAACAAGTACAACAACTGGATCATCAAGCCTGCTATACATATTCGTTCTGGCTCATAAGTACCATTGCTTGTTTTATTGTTATAACGCGTTGCCGGGACACCTATTTCGCACGTTTGATCATGTTGCTCACAATGAACTACGCCCRCAGAACACCTCGGGAATGTTTTGCTGACTTGATAAGTGTATTGYCCATGTTCTATTGTAACTATTCGAAGACGTTTAGTTTTGCTGCCAAACGCTTTGTATCTACTTAAAAAACCTTTGAATTTGACCATGCCAGTTAGAGATGACCAGGWAGAGGTGGTTTGGAATCGGGTAGACAGTGATGTGGTTGTATTAAGTAGTCTTTCTATGATGTTGTAAGTAGAGTTTTTTGGAGGTGATGAAACTCTAGGAAAAAGTGATTTAGTAAGTAATACGACAATTAATGTGAGACTTTTAATATTGGTCTAACTTTGTTTATATTTTTTTCGCCAGCTATATACAATCAGAGTATCATATTTGCTAAAGTGTAGTGCATTTACCTTAAATTCTGATCATGSGAGCTATAGGAGCCGCTGGTGCAGAGGTCTGTAGKCGAMGATGGCRTYGATTCRCTTTGACTGCTTAACTTGCGCATTATTTCYGCSGCTCGYAAGGCTGCAAATAAGAATAAGAATCAAGTTTAAWGATACATTAGTTGTCGCACTCAGCTCGCGAAGAACTATTTTGCCTCMTTGTGCCTTAATTTTTRAAATATAGCACCAACCATACATGCCATCTACATTTCTATAGACCGCTCGTCCCGCTGGTAAGTTCACTCCCTTCAAAAACTTGTTTTACCAGTTTACTTACCGGTTTGTTCCGGTATTACACGTAATTGCATTCCAATTATATTTTCAGGCAACCAGCGATCTGTCACTTGCTCCATATATCGTACAACTCTCTCAGTACCAATCCACAGATAATCCCGGCCAAGAAGACCAGTATCGAGTGACGCCTGGAGGATTTTTTCGGTATCTTTTCCATCGCAAACCAATACTATTACTTTGATAGAAAGACTTTTGATGCTTTCAAGAATGTGCAAAATTTGCGTTTTACTAACAACTCCTTGCGTTTTTGTTAAATTAAATAGAATAAACTGTTGAGAGTGATCTGTGGATTTATGTGTCTTCATTGTCGAGATAAGACTCGAGATGACACTAACACTGTCCTCGTCATCTCCACTTAGAAGAGCAAAATGGTTCGACCCAATCGAGTCCACAATGCTGTGCAAGAGCAGCATCTCTTCCGAGAGGAACGGGAACAGGTTGTTGTAATTGGGATACTTTTTCTAGAAAAAAAAAGCTTTAGAGTTACAATTATAATTTCAAGTGGGAGTTGGAGCTTAGGTTAGGTTAAGAGTATTGGAAATATCATTGGAAATGTAGTGTTATGGAATATTGTTAAAACGCGCACAAGTTTTGGTCGAGTCATTACATCCGTCTAGAATCGATAAACCAAGTAGAAACTCGATTTATTTTCGTTTCTTGAAGACTCGTGTATAAATCAACAGTTAAGGCAAAGTTAAAGCTTATAGAACTCCGAATAGAGATGGAACAAAGCTGCAAAACTCGGCTGCATTTCTAACTCAACTGATCTATAATTTTGGGACAAAATCACCCTGAACGATTTGTGTTACCTTGTTTTGAAACGAAATGCTTCTTGAAGTACCAATGACAGAAATTCCAGCCAAACCAGCACACTGAGTCAACATCTTTGTCTCGTGGTCGTCAAACGTTGTCACCAATGCTTGTAGCTGGCGAGGGGCAAATATCCCGCAAAGCAAATCAAAACACCCTTTAATACTTGATAAATTTGCCTCGTAGATATACTCAAAATTAAAATTGATTGAATTGTTTGCGTCACTGTCAGAATTGAGTTGCTCGAGGGCTTTTTCTAGCATAGTAGCGTTCGTCCAAGAATTTTGGAAACCGCTTCTTTGTATAATACCAATGTTAATAGTTTTTAAGTTCGTGGTAGTCAGGCCTATTATCCTAAAAACCGCAAAGTCCAAGCAACAATAGATAAAAATCACGCAATATATTATGTTGAATGTCTTCATTACTAAGCTTTTTTCAAAGACAAGTAACGTGCTGTACGCTTGACGAAGAAGTGTTTAGTGTGACGCCATGTTGACTGAAAACTTGCTCTTCATGTAATTGAGAAAAACGGTTGTTTTTCTAATAGTTTATACAAAAATAGAACTATTTTTCAAATAAAGTCCAGTTTTACCCTTTATGCACTGTAGAATTCTTTTAATTTTAAACTTGGCCATCCAGCATTTGACTTCGCTTCATCTTAATTGAATTGCCACCTTGCGTCGTTGTAATGAATCAAGCAACATTGGCAAAAGTACATCAGTTACCATGGTTCGCCCGTTATTTTCACATTTCACATCCACCTTTCGCGACCTTTATCGTAAAACAATCTCCCCTTATCAACAAATCAACTTACTTGGAATATTTAACTAAGTTAAAAACATAATTTAACTCGAAAATAGTTTTGATGTTTTGGTCGGGATGCGTTTTTATCCAAGTCTCGACTCTTTCTAAATGGTAATCCCAATTAGTAATTTTCACCGCACACAATTTGTATAATTTCAACATAAGGTATCCCATTCTAATCCTTGATTTCATTCGCTAAAAATGTCAAACAACTCTGTAGGGAGTGCCTTGTTTTATAGTTTTAAGATTTAGAATGTGTCTTCTCGCTGCGAAAGGAATCCAAAACATTGCTTTATTTAGGAGTGGAATATTTACAAATGGTAAAAAATGGTACATCTAGTTTACAATTTCTAATAAATGATGTCTGCAATAAAACAAATTCAGGTTAATACAATGTTCAATGACAGTTTTAGTTAAAAGTAAGCTACTTTTCACTGTCCGAATAAAATCATAATCAGTACCAGCTTTACTTAAAATATATAACTTTGAAAATTTGAATATCTTCAAAAAACATCAACAAAACCCGACTCCTAATGTCTTTAAGCAATTGCTTTTTTCCCCTTTTTATAAGTGTTGACATCACACACCTGTTTTGAGAAAATGAATTGTTTAGCACAATAAATTCAATGATCAAAATAKTTTACTGCGCCAACTTCTGCGAGTTTTATTAAGAAATRCCGGATATTTGCATTCATTGTGTATTTGGTATTTCAAGAGCCATCCCATTTTCTAATTGCAATTCAAGTACGTCTTTTCAAATCCCGAGAGCAGTGTTTTTCTCAACGTGGCACGCCACATGAGGTCGGATAATTTTTCTTCACAATKGCAYGCCAATTAGTTYTTGTTTGRTTTGAAAAAGTCTGGTAAACCATYGATATAAACACTGTCTATCCGTTGGKTAAGCTAGGTGCTCTTTTATTAATCGGAAAATTCGATTTTTTGRAACCCACAATGTCCACGGTTAGAGTTRTGATGAATGTGGTATATGACGTATTCCAAGATGGCCGCCAAACTCTCTTGCCATGCTGGGAATCCGAGTAATCCCACAAAATTGTTTAATMTAACCAAACTGAGTTATTTAAGTTAGTCGAATTCATAAATGAAGAAAACCAACTACAATTGGCAAGAAAATAAGATWACTGGTAAAATTCGTGAAAAAAACCCTGATAATAATTTCGGAGCAACATCAGTAGTTCGTTTGAATTTCTAGCAAGAAAACTGCGGTTTTTCGTTCGTAAAATGATATCATTTTATCGTTTAAGCCAAATACTATGATTTTCGATATAAAAAGGCCATTTGTAATCCCACAATCTGATAAAATTACAATTTTAATTACAATATTATTAAGTTTAAGTTAGAAAAACAGACTCTGCGAGACTACAAAGATAGTTCCAATCCATGYTGCGAAGAGCGTTTCAGAGCCGGAATTTAGACGCGTCCGCGCCAATGTTTGGCGCCAAACATTGAATAGGCTTAATCTGGAAGCCAATCACTAAACGGAAGTTTCAAAAGGACGTCATATCGAAACTCCCTGGTTTTTAATATAGATATTAACTGGAATTTATCAATAAATATTATCAWACCTAGATTTCACATGAAAGTTTGTATATGAAAGTTTTTATATGCTCTTTATATTTGAATTTGTGAATTCTTGAAACACTATAAACCTATTTCTGTGGTCTCCCTGTGGCGGGTATTAAACCACGGTGGGAGGGTAGGAGAGACATTATATTGGTATCGCATCAACCATAAGGTTGTACTTTAAAGTTCTAAATCGAGAYAAAATCGTTTCCCTTAAAATTGGGTCGACAATYAGTGAAAATTTGCTCGTGAATATTGATGTTCCAGGGCTGTCTTCCGATGAACCATCGKGTCGAGAAACGCGCGCGTAGGCTTGCGCGTCGCGAAGRAACTGTTCCAATCTTTCAGGGTCTCCTGTAGGTAAGTTATCTCTAGTGATATCAGGAAAACTGTTGGATATCACAGAGGTCACTGTTATGACTCTGTTGTCATTGTCGTCCTTATGTAAATCAGTGTCTTGAATATGCAATGTTTGCTGTACAGCGTCGACTGCTGAATTTGCGATGTATAGTGTACTGCTGGTCAGCAGTAGCGCCCCACTGTACTCATGCCCGCTGACGGTTACTACCGTAACGTYAGTAGTTAAAAGAAGATCTTGATTCGTCTTGAAGTGTAGCATTTTCCTGAAAAAAGCAAGGAATCCCAACAACTTTAATTATTTCTAAAGTCAATTTGATCAAATTCATGATATTTTTAAATCTGAAATAACGTTTACCAGGAGTATTTYAAGTGACTGTTGCTTGATACAAACTCAATCTTCTCCTCAACTGGACGAAGACGAGAAGGCATGTGACTAAGTCCAGTCCCTCGTAAAATKCCTTGGCCAGCTTGTGATACTAATTCCATGGCACCTCCAAGGGGCTTGGTGACTACTCCGACAAGTCCTTTCCCCACCCCTGTAAGGACACCAGCAGCTGCTTGCTTCACGTCGTTRGCACGCTGTATACCTTGGATTGGTTGATCTACCACGCCTGCTACGGCACCGAGAAGACTGAGCCCGAATCCTCCCAGACCATGGGTAATACCTGTAATAAAACAAATATACAATAATAATACACAACAGAACTCGGCTACGCCTTGCTATATTTTCTCGTGTTATTCACACTACTTACCAGTCATAAGCCGTGTTGGTCTTCTAGCCCTCTGTTCTTCTTGTAATCTAATATGTCCTTCATCCATCGACAATTTTTCGAGGTTCCTAGATATACTCGACGCTAGGTTTGTAACGGAAGTCAGCGCGCCCGTCGAGATGTGCCGAACAAACGAYGAAACACCGTGGGACATTCCGGACACGAACGCGCTAGGCCCTCGGGTTAAACCATCGTAAGGGAAGTAGAAAAAGTCGGCAAAWCCTTGACTAACATTTCTTATCAACCCAGCTGGACTRCCGAGAATATCGAGAGAACCAACTACCCAACCAATCTTGAARAATACCGACGATATGTAATGGTAAAAAACATTCCGAGCAAACGACGARCCATCRGCGAACACTGGCCGAACATGGTACGAAGCAAGATTCAACGGCGTGTCGTCCATRGCAACGAAGAGTTTGATTGACGCGTGAAGTGTTAAGTGTATGGTTGCTGGYTCGATGGTAAACTCACCAATRACCAACGGTTGAAGAACGGAGTTAGCAGCGARYATTATGGAAGCTGTTTCAAATGGRCTTAGGTCTTTCGTAGTACTGCAYTGTTTCAATGGCGGAAGGAAAGATTCTGCCAAGTTCAACAAATCATAGACGAGTTTATCTTCTAGAAATRCAGTTACTGGGTTAACACCGACYAAGACAGAATGAATAAACATTGGTTYACCGCCAGTAGCAGGCTCGTATTTTACTTGTATTAACATAAATGGCTTGCTGAAAATCTTCTTSTCTACGGATTTTGTAGCTTCGTCGTTAGTTATCAGTACAACGGGAAACTCACAACCTTCCAGCTGGTTGTCAAGCTGGAACGAGTTCAGTTTCAAAGAAAATTYACAAACAGCATCCTCTGATATCGGCTCGTGAGCGATTGTTATATTATTTAAGGAGGAYCTTAATACTTCCACAGGGTTCCCAWCACTAYTTCTTGYATTCAYTAAACAGATATCTAGTTTGGATACACTGAAAACAAACTTRAACGCTCGCGAYACTGGGTTTGGTTYAACATCAKGGACGATTTGTGCGCCATCTTCATCGTAAGGACTGATTCGAACAAWGGTGCACAGCCTTGACTTGGAGACAAAGACTATGAYCCTACCCCTCCCTGGTAGATTRACAACAAAATGTCCAGCTTTGTTGATATCAARCCCGTGGGTCCACCCCTGSGGAACTTCASTGCTCTGACCCATAGTGACTGCGGCTTCAGAATCTTCAGAAATTTCATCAACAGTGACATTGTACATGGCTTGAAGATGAACATCCGGGATMWCTTGTGYTTGATTGACACTCTGAAACCACTCCCTCATCACCGGAAGTTCATAATGCATCATTCCGAGAGCAGGGACTTCCGGTACGTCACAGAGAGGCTGCATTTGCTCCAAGACAACGAGTCTCTCCCCAGATCCYTTYTGATGAGAAGGGCTTTGCGGAGGAGCAGCCTGTCCAAATTGAAGTGTAAATTGGCARTCGTTGTATATAACAAGTCTCGGRGAAGGATCAAYGGCTATAATAATGTGAATAACACCTGATACTTCTTTATACGTCACCACTAACGGTATACTTGCGTTACCATCAAGAACTGACAGTGCATGCCGGGATACTTTAGGGTCAAGTAYGAAAGCTGACGACCATCTGAACCCATCTGGTGTATTSAGATTGTCTCTMMTKTGTTCTTGGTCTAGTGYAAAGTTAACAACTGTAAGTGTATCGTCAATGGTGGCCACGCCCTCTTTGTCCAACACGACCGACGAGGATGATGGGATATACCACAGGGTTACCGGTGTCTTGGTGTCTGTATTGGCAGGTACAGACATAGCTACGGTTAGTGCTTCAGAAGGGACCTTGGTTAGAGTGAAACGAAACAATATCAAACAAAACGCATTTTTTAAATTTTTGGTTTCAAAATTTAGCCATATTAAAACTGTCAAGCCTAATGAATGAAGAATACAAAAAAACTCACTCTTTTCCCTTGAGCAGCGAGTGCAGTAAATGCAAACAGCGGTCTACCGCTTGAGTTAACAATAGAATATTTCTCTTGRAACGACACAATTAACACACCATGACGTAATTGTGACGTCATGGTTAGCTGAACACCCATTGGCTGGTCAGACTTCGTGACGTAAACGATAGAAATGGTYACGTGTTTWACATCGTCATCTGTTAGTGKCTTTGAGTCGAAAKTCGAAGMGTCGTGAAGTGGTTTTGCCTTGGAAGTGATTGTTATTGGTTTGGACCAACAGAGRGTGCTGGATCCTGCCACGTGCATGCCTAGTTGGACTTCGCCCTGGGGATATTAAGATAGGGTGTTAGTTTTCAATTTTAACTGCTAATTAAGTGATACTTTGCCTTGGACAATAGGATAACGTTGTCTGAAGTACAGAAACATCTTGTTCATTTGAAAATATGATAACATAGGAACATCATCTTTTATGTGAATGTCCCGTACAACGTAGTGACGTCCTCTTAAATGTGCAAGGTCCATATAACATTTTCATATAGGGACATCCTCTCTGATATGGATGACCCGTACAACGAGGGACATCCTCCTCAATGTGATAGGTCTATATAACATAGAGATATCCTCTTTCATGTGAATGGCCCGTTCAACGTAGGGACATCCTCTTAAATGTGCCAGCTCCATATAACACTTACATATAGGGACATCCTCTCTGATATGAATGACTCGCACAACGTAGGGATTTCCTTTTTCATGTGAAAGCTCCATATAACATAGAAACATCCTCTTTCATGTAAATGACCTGTACAACGTAGGGATTTCCTTTTCCATGTAAAAGGTCCCTAGTTGACAGGTTTCTGTGATAGGAAAGTACTCATAAGATCGAACGTTATTCTACTTACCTTAAATTTGTAAGGAGCAATGGTTTTGCTTGCTGGCAGCTCGATCTCCATGTTGCTCTCTCTGTCTCGTATGTATAGCGAAGCCATGGTCTTGTTTACAACAAGACACCATGGGATCACATCGATAAGAAGAGTGCTTAGATTATTCCACTTCTTAATGACKCGACATTGAAGCTCAATATCGGGAAAAGGAATGATACCTTCAATGAATAAAACACACAAATTAGTCATTTGAATCATACACTTCTATTAAAAGTCCCAAGTCCATTTGAGAGCCTTTGCAATAATGTACTTTGCTTCAAGAATGATCTGTTGTTGAAAGTTGGTTCCTGATTGGTTAAAAATCAAACATGGTGATTTTTTGTATGTGCGAAAATCACGCAAAGGTTTTCGGATGATGTCKGAACAACTGCAGTGTGAAATTCTGGGATCACTGATCTTATGGATCGGTGTCGGGCGATAAGAAATTTTGTTGTTTGGCCAGCCTGCTTGATGTGTTGGATGAAGAACTCGTAGTGTCAATGACATACCTTCTTTCTCAATGCATTCTTCGCTTTGTTCAGTTGCAGACTGGTTGTTGGTGACAGACGAGATCACGTGACGTAACGGTGTCACAGAAGATTCAGTGGTAGGTTTGACATCTCGACTAAACAGCAAGCAATCGAAACAAATTACAATGGTGTCAACTAATCAACAACAACAATAGCAGCAACAACAACGACGACGACAACAGCAGCAGCAACAACAACAAGAACAACAGCAATGACAACAAGAACATGAACAACAATGACAACGACAACAAATGAAATATATAAAATCGTTTCATACTTTGTAGCAACACAGTAAGGCCAGAGAGTCTCCAACGAAGTCCCCTCGTCRTCAAACTCATCAGGACTAACTTTGTTAACCAAGTCAATGAGYGTCGAGTTCAGTGGCACCGATGGTTGTGAAGTCCCTCCCTGGCTATTGACCTGGAATGTTAGGTGGTGCCAGGAATTTGGCTCTAAATCAAGTACCTGCTCTTCCTGGCCTCTACCATGTACTTGGAGTGTACTCGTGGTGTTGGCCTTTGCAGTGAACACGTTCATTAGAACTGGATCTGGTAAGTGACTGCGCATGACAAAAAGTGGAGAGAGAGTAATCTACAATGGCAAAAGAAATTCTGAAATTAATGCTCGAACGTCCTATTTCATGGAAAAGAACAAGTKGAGGAAAGACAATTTTGAATGAATGGCCAGTCAGTCTTGTCGCATCAATAAATAAGAACAACAAACAAACAACAACGAACAAACAACAACAACGGCAAAAACAGTTACCAAAATCAGTCGATGTCTAGTGTGTAAGTTCGACAAAAGATTACCTGAGTCTGRTCATAAACCGTCTTCTCTAGGCAATACCATAGGTAGAATGTTTTAAAGGTTTTCACGCCAAGCAGCTGGAATAATAATAATAATAATAAAACAAAAACAAATAAAATCGTTCAGTTTATAATTGTGTGAGCTTTCAGAATAAAACTAGTTTCACATCTTCCATCCATCGGCATTTATTCATTCATCCATTCATTTATTTTTCCATTCATTTACTCTACCTTAACAATCAAGTTCTGTTGTTTATTATCGCCATTGGTCAAGTGATCTAAAGGCAGAGGGTCTGACCAGGTTGAGGTCCCAGGAATTCGAACACGTATCCCAACTAGTCCTGCATGAGATACKACGTACGATGGGAGGGTGGTGTGGGGTGATAATGAAATGTCTTCATGAACCTATCGAACAAGAAAAAAAGGAACTTAAGTCAATCAATCAATCTACCAATTTAACAATCAATAAATCAACCGACCAATCAATCATAGGCATCAATCAGTCAATCAACCAATCAATAAATCAACCAACCAACTAACCAATCAATCAATTAATCATCTAATCAATCAATTAATCAACCGACCAATCAATCATAATCATCAATCAGTCAATCAACCAATCAATAAATCAATCAACCAACCAACTAACTAACCAATCAATCAACAAATGAATTAATCATCTAATCAATCAATCAACCATTTATTATCATCAATCAGTCATTAATTGAAAACCCACGGACCTGCAAAGTGGACGTTTCTGCACTAATTGATGCGAGTGAGGGGTTCTTCAGGATTTGTAAATCAGTTTTGACAGCAAGACGGCTTGTAATTTGAAGACCACCACGAAATATGACCTATAAAATACAGCGAACCTAGCGTAATGCTAGTAGAACTTGTCTTTTCCTTGACTATCTACTTCTATAACTATGTTTAATCATCATAATCACCGCCGTCATCATCATCATCATCATTCATCTGGGCGAGACGAGACGTATAGGGCTTTAACGCAAGCGCTATGCTGTGCTTCAAAACAACGTTGAGGGATTTTGATTTACAAAATGCTATTTGAGGGTGCTGCATTGGAAAACAACAAATTTGCTTTGATGTCTATTGCTTTTAAACTGGTCATAAGGGGACCCCCCCTCCCCCTTGCAAAAGCTTAGCACACTAAGAAAGATACCTTGCTTCCTTTTACTCATAAGCTGGCCCCAAGGGGACCACTAGACCGTACCTGTTTTTGCACTCCAGATAATGGTACAACATCCACTACAACACTAGCRCTGTGTAGTTTATGATGTATAACACGAGTACAGACACCAATTACATCGATGTTAAAAGGCTCTGACCAACGCCAATCACCTTCGCTCTCAAAACACATATGCATCTTGGACTGACGGTTGACATGTCTAGAGATCCGCCAGCTGTAAGGTAAKACATGACRGCTTGGAAGTAGAATAGCTTCATCAGTATCAACCTGAAACATTTCGTGAAGACGTGTTGAGACCAWGKGCCTCATGGGAATGGATGGGTCATTTAACTGAGGTTACTTTTATTATTGATTATTATTTATCTTTATTATTCTTATTATGAATTCAGAAAAGGAATTTTTGTCGAACCATCATTATTATCAGTATCATCATCATCCTTATAATCACCACCACCATCATCATTATCATCATGAGTACTTGCTAAGCAATTGACTTGTAACAGACGTCTGAACCTTTTACGTCACCACTTGATTTCCAATGCATTGTGGGATTAGTTTCTCGAGGAAACAAAGGAATTCCGCCATGTTCTTTCCCAAACATATCCTATAATGCATTGCGTATACGGTACATGACGTTAAGTGTTTAAAGGTCTATTATCAGTAAAAAATTCGAAGTCCAATCAACACCACTCTATCATCATAATCATCATCATCATCATCATCATCACTATCATCATCATCATCATCGTCATCATCAACAATCCGTCCACTAACCTGCCCAAGCCGTATATCTTCATTAGTATCATTACAAATAATGTAATGGTTAAAAATCACATTCTCATTTAGCTTATTAAGTGGTCGTGACCAGCTATTCACAGCCTGAGCTATTGTATGAACTGTTGTTTGGCTGATAACGCTATCGATGTCTCCGATAGCAATGCTTGCTTGCAGCCAAACTGGTTGATGTGGATGAGACGTTTTGCTGTTGGTGATTTCCTGAAGGATTGAAGATAACGTTGTGTATTTAATTGATAATTCAGTGTGGAGTATGACAATCACACGCAAGTTAAACGGGAAGGAAGGAAGGACGTATGGACAGAAGGAGAGAGTGAAAGCGGGAGGAAGGGAGGGAGGAGTGAAAGAGGAAGAGAGGGAAAAGAAAGGAGTGAATGAGAGAAGGAAGGAATGATGTAAGGACAGAAGGAGGAAGTGAGAGAGGGAGGAAGGGAGGAAGGAAGGAGTGAGAGAGGGAGGGAGGAAGGGAGGAAGGAAGGGAGGAGTGAGAGAGTGAGGGAGGGAGGGAGGAAGGGAGGATTGAGAGAGGCAGGGAGGAGTGAGAGAGGGAGATAGGGAAAAAGAAAAGAGTGAGTAAGGGAAGGAAGGATTTAAGGAAGGAAATGACTAAATGACTAAACTTCGAGTGTGATAACAAACATTGACACTCCACAGTACTTACCATTTCACCATGAAACAAAGTTACACCACAACTAGCATCAAATGGATCAAGAAAACACTGGTAGGTGAGGTCGTCAAAGTCTAATACTTCACAATAACAGTTCCATTCCACGTGACACAACGATACTGGCTGATTACCATGAATGTATTTACCGACACCACGCAAACCTTCCACGGTCAAATGCAGGAATTCTTGCTCTGTTGGGACTGACGGATCTATCGCGTAGTTTTGTAGGTACTTTGGTAATACTTTAAAGAAAAAGACAAGCCATTATAAGCAGAGTTTGTGCTTTGATGGATATATATCAAATGCTAAACAGGTAAGTCGGTACTAAAAAAGTTGGTCACCGAAGATTCACAACAGTGAGTTAAGAAAGAAAGAAAAAACCGAAAAGTGAAAGGGAAGAAAGGAAGGGAAGAAGGAATAAAAGGGAATAAGATTGTAATGTATATATACAGTGTCATGCGCATTACGATAAGGACAGTCTAAGAATATTTATTTGCAATGAAAGAAAGCCATACCTTGTGTCCCTCCAACTGAATGACTAAGAAGTTTTATATCAAC